AAGAAACTTAGATATGGTTGTAATAAACATAGAATGATCTTTTGTGTGTAACATTCATTTCCTTATATTGTTAGATCTCTTACGAAGATTATCTAAATCCCAGAATACAGTCTTCTGTGGACGAATTCAGCTCTTTTTGGCCAGGCTTTTCCCTCTATCTGAGAAATCAGGTAAGCTCTTCTACATTAAATAAATTCTCTGGAGGAAAATCTTAAAATCTGCTTAATATCTGTCTGTTGTAATGAGAAAAATGGTTTAAAGAAGTTGGAAGATTTAAAAAATTTATTTTTTACTTTGTTTTGCATACATATAGTTGATGCCAATTCTATTGTGCAATACATGTAATCCCAAAACCAAGCCATTGATTCTTTAAGTTCAAAACATTAATAATAACATGCAGTTAAGTCACACTGAAATATGTAGATCATGTCTATATTTCATTTTATAATATGTACCTTTTGTTATTTCCATTTTCTTCCTCAGTCATTACTGTTTAGCCATATTTACTTCCTTTCCTTCTCTTTTTTTTATAAATTTTTATTATGAAATAATACTCATATAGAAAAGGGCATAAAGCGAATGTGTCATGTAATTATGTATAACCACTGTCCCGCTTCAGAAATGGAACATGGCTAGTTATTCAGAGCTGCCCCCCTCCCTAGTCTGTTCAGATAAGCCATATTTTAACATCTCTTTGCTTTAATTTTTTTTCCTTAATATCAGACTAGTGTACCTCCTAACTTTGTATGTTATTTTGAGATTAAATGAATTAAAATACATGAAGAGTTCACAGTAGTGCCTGTATGTAGTAAGATCTGTAGTGTATGTTAGCAGTGGTTTTTATGTGCTTTTGTTGTTGTTCTATGTGCTGTTTTTTTCTTTCCTACTTGCTTTATGTGTTCAAGGTGAATATAGATTTACCACTTCTTGTATTTGTGACTTGCCACCTGTGATCGCTTTCCCCTTTAGACTTTAGTGCAGGTCTGTGTTTACCTGAAAAACTTTATTTCTCCTTTCTTCTTAGAGAATGGTTTTAGTAAACAGAAGATTCTAGATTGGCACTGGATTGCACTTCATGGGAAATAATCTTTTCTTTGTCTTCTATCTTCCATTGCTGTATAGTCAAGTCCTTTGTGAATCTCACTTTCTGAAGATACAATAATTTAAATTTCTTCTCTGCTCTTAAGATATTTTTTTCCTCTGCTTTTATTCAGTTTTACTATCACATACCTAAGCGTGAATTTTTTTTTATTCTGCTTGGGATTGAGGGCATTTTGAATGTATAGATTAGTGTCTTTCATTCAATTTGTAAAAATCTGTCCATTATCTCTTCTAATATTGCATATGCCTCTTTTTCTGAAACTTAAACATTCATTATATCTTCTCAATATATCCACTGACTCTTATTCTTTATATGCATATATACAGAGGATGCCAAAAAATGTGTACACAATTTAAGAAAGAGAAAAACTGTATTAAATTTTTAATACTCAAGTCACGTTTGACTTCGGTAATTACAAGAAGTACTTAACGTGACTTGTATTAATCTTTTGTTATCAGTACGTATTGAGTATTATAATTTTTTTTTTCTTTGAGTCTCACTCTGTTGCCCCAGGCTTGAGTGTTGTGATGTCACAGTTCTCAGCAACCATAAACTCCTGGGCTGAAGTGATCCCCTTTCTTCAGCCTCCCAAGAACCTTGGACTATAGGTGTGCACCACCACATTTGGCTAGTTTTTTCTCTTTTTAGTAGAGATGGTGTCTTGCTCTTGGTCAGCCTGATTTTAATCTCCTGAGCTCAGGCAACCCACCCACATTGGCCCCCCAGAGTGCTAGGATTATAGGCGTGAGCCACTGCACCTTGCCAAAGATTACAATTTTAATTCAATTCTTTCCGTTCTTAAAATGTGTATACATTATTTTGGCACTATTTTTCATCTATTAGTCTCCCTCCATCATATTCTGAATAATAATTGAGTTATTTTCTAGTTCACTACTTAAGCTGTGAATAATCTGAAAAAAGAATTCTTTTTTTTTTTTTGTAGAGACAGTCTCACTTTATCACCCATGGTAGAGTGCTGTGGTGTCACAGCTCACAGCAACCTCCAGCTCTTGGGCTTAGGCGATTCTCTTGCCTCAGCCTCTCGGGTAGCTGGGACTACAGGCACCCACCGCAATGCCTGGCTATTTTTTGTTGCAATTTGGCTGGGGCTAGGTCTGAACCTACCACCCTTGGTACATGGGGCCTGTGCCCTACTCACTGAGCCACAGGTGCTGCCTGATAAAAGAATTCTTAAATTCATTTCTTGTATTTTTCATTGTTGTATTATACCTTTATCTTCATGCTTTAGTTTCTTATTTCCAACTGATATTTGCGAGCTTGTTTGTTAGATTTTTAAACTTTGTTAGCATTTTATTTTGCTGTCTATAACTAATACTTGTAGTACCTTAAGTCTTTGTAGGTCTGTTTCTACAGTCTGTTTTGACTTTTTCTCACTTATGATGTCTTATCTTTTTGTGTGTCTAGTTTTCATTGGGTGCTGTATTTGAGAACATATTTGAGAAAATAATCTTGAGATCTAGTATAGATACCTTTCTCTAGATAGGGTTTTCATTGCTTCTGCCATGCATCTTCTAAAGGGCTCTGCTACCAGTCCAGGCCCTACATTAGTCCAGGCCAGTCGAAGGCCTATTGTTCCTGGATCATCCAGAAGACTCAGTGCTAGAGTACAGTTTAGTTTACTCCTGCCTGACAGTGTAGCCCTATAAGTTCCCAGCTTTGAAGGTGGCAGGTAGTGGAATTTATTAGTTTATTAGATTCCTTACTTTCCTTGGGCCCAGAGGTTTACTTTTATAACTCCAGGAAGCTACTAAAGGAGGGCCTTGACTTTAGGAACTGATTCCTTCTATTTGGCAGATGTCCTGTAGGCAAGAGTGTCTTGCTTGCTGATCATGCATTGTTTATTTTTCTTGCCCTCTGGATTTTTATCAGGTATTTCTCACCATCTCGTCAGCTCTTTACTGTTTTTAAGGAAATCATTTTTCTATTTCATTGCCTAAAACAGTGCTATGAACTTGGTGTATGCTCTGTAAATATTTGTAGAATTAATGTACTATATCTAAGTTTTTAGTTGTCCTTCATGGGTGAGTTAACCTGAATAATTTTTTAGCCTTCCATTACTAGAAATATTGCTTTTTTCCTTATCTTTCTTTTTTTTTTTATTTTTTGAGATAGAGTCTCACTTTCTTGCCCCTGGTAGAGTACAGTGGCATCATAGCTCACAGCAATCTCAAACTCTTGGGCTTAGTGATTCTCTTGCCTCAGCCTCCCAAGTAGCTGCAACTACAGGTGCTCACCGTGGACCCCAGATATTTTTTAGAGATAGAGTCTCCCTCTTGCTCAGGCTGGTCTCGAACTCATGAGCTCAAGCAGTCTACCCACCTCAGCCTCCCAGAGTGCTAGGATTAGAGGTGTGAGCCACTGCACCTAGCAAAGCTGTGCATATATATATTTTTTTCTTTTCTTTGTTTTTTTTGAGATAAAGTCTCACTTTGTCACCCTCAGTAGAGTACTGTGGCATCATAGCTCATAGCGACCTCAAACTCTTGGACTCAAGCAATTCTCTTGCCTCAGCCTCCTGAGTAGCTGGGACTACAGGTACCCACCACAGCGCCCAGCTATTTTTTGTTGCAGTTTGGCCAGGGGCCAGGTTCAAAACCTCCGCCCTTGGTATATGGGGCTGGCGCCCTACTCACTGAGCCACAGGCACCCCCCTTGAGTTAATTTTTTCATATGAGGTAGGGATTCAGTTTTATTTTTTGGTATGTAGATAATCAGTTGTCTAAGCACCATTTGTTGAAAGACTCTTCTTTCCCCCCACTGAATTATCATCTCACCTTCTTTATACCTTCAAAATATCAAGATTGTGCCCTCCCCTTCCCCACTTAAGAGCTTTGACATTAACTCTTCCCTCTTTCTGTAAATCTTTTGTTCATTATTGTCATATTATTGGCTTTTGCTGTTGCTCAGTTTAAATTTCCCTTCCTCAAAGAGGCTCTTTGAATACCTAATCCAGGCGTCCTCAAACTATAGCCCGTGGGCCACATGCAGCCCGCCTAGGACATTTATCCGGCCTGCCAGGTGCTTTTGCCACTGCTACCTGTCCTGCTTAGCAGCTGACTCTTCCCAGGGCCTACAGTCCGGCCCTCCAACGGTCTGAGGGACAGTGAACTGGCCCCCTATTTAAAAAGTTTGAGGACCTCTGATTCTAAACTCATTATTACGGCACGATTTCAAATCACTTGAAATCATGACACTATCTGGGGTTTTTTCCGTGTGTTTTTATTATTCATGTCTGTATTCTCTGTGCCTATAACAGTGCCGGGCACCTGTTACCATTTAAATATGTAATTAATACAGACCTGGTGTAGTGGCTCACACCTGTAATCCTAGCAATCTCAAAGGCTGAGACAGAAGGATTGCTTGAGGACAGAAGTTTGAGACCATCCTGAGCGAGAGTGAGACCCCATTTCTGCAAATAGAAAAATTAATTAGAAGTGGTGGCATGTTCCTACAGTCCTAGCTGATGGAATGGCTGAAGCAGGAGGATCACCTGAGCACAGGAGTTTGGTGCTACCATGAGCCAGACTCTTATCTCAAAAAATAAATAAATCTAAGGAATACAGCCTTATTTCAGAAAATTTGGAAAACAAAGAGAAAGAAACTTTTCTCTTTTTTAGAGACAGAGTTTTACTTTGTCGCCCTCGGTAGAGTGCTGTGGCATCACAGCTCCCAGCAACCTCCAGCTCTTGAACTTAGGCAATTCTCTTGCCTCACTTTCCTGAGTAGTCGGGACTACAGGTGCCCACCACAATGCCTGGCTGCTTTTTTTGTTGCAGTTTGGCCGGGGCCGAGTTCGAACCTGCCACCTTGGTATATGGGGCCAGTGCCCTACTAACTGAGCCACAGGTGCTGCCTGAAAAAGAAACTTTTCATAATCCCACCACCGTAACACAAGCTAGGTTGGCATTTTGGGGTATTTTCTTACAATAACTTTTCCCTTAACATTTAGTAGTTTCTTTACATCCACTAGGATGTAAAGGCCCTCAAAAAGCCATTTAATACGTATTAGTTTCCCCATTGAATGTAGCTACTCAGGAGACTGAGGCAAGTCACTTGGGGCCAGAAGTTTGAGGCTACAGTGAACTGGGATTATGCCTGAAACTAGCTGCTGCATTTCAGCCTGGGCAACATGGTGAGACCCTATCTCAAAACAACAGCAACAACAATAACAAAAAAGCTCCATAAAATAAACAAACAAAAAAATCTCAAGATGGATCATAGACCTAATTGTAAGAACTAAAACTCTTAGTACAACTGAATTTTTTAACTCTGAATGAAAATTATAGCATATGCTGTAATGAATAATAAAGAATGGTGGTATTTTAACTAATGTTTAATGGTCAGCCAGGATCATTCACTAGCTTAATGTCTTGATCTAGCATTTTCTTTTTAACTTTTTGCTTTGCAATAATTTTAGACTTGAGGAAGAGTTTCCAAAGATAATGCAAAGCAGTGTTTTTCAACTTTTTTTGTCTCATGGCACACTTGAACCTATAGTTAAAATTTCTGTGGCACACTTAAATTATGTTGATCAAAAAAAAGTTAAAAAAAGAATATATTTACTGTGCTTTGAACTTCTTTCAAAAATCATTTTATGTTTAAAAATTTTTGCAGCACACCTGAGATCCTCTCACAACCCACAGCCATGGCATACTGGTTGAAAATTGCTGGTATAAAGAGTACCTGAATACCCTTCACCTAATATTAAGATCTTGTAGGCTAGGCCTGGTGGCTCACGTCTATAATCCTAGCACTCTGGGAGGCCGAGGTGGGTGGATTGCCTGAGCTCATGAGTTCGAGACCAGCCTGAGCCAGAGCGAGACTTCGTCTCTAAAAAAACAGCTGGATGTTGTGGCAGGTGCCTGTAGTCCCAGTTACTAGGGAGGCTGAGGCAAGAGAATCACTTAAGCCCAAGAGTTTAAGGTGCTGTGAGCCGTGACTCCATGGCACTCCACCGAGGGCAACAAAGTAAGACTGTCACACACAAAAAGAAACATCTTGTATGACTGTGGGTTAGCTATCAAAAGTAAGAAGTCAACATTGGTACAGCATTCAGTGTCAATTACAGATACCATTTGGATTTTGCCAGTTTTATCACTGCTTTCCTTCTTCTGTTCTAGGATCTCGCATTGTGTTTAGTTGTCATATTGCCCTGAGTCTCCCCGGTCAGTGACGAGTCCTCAGTCTTTACCTATTTTTCATGACTTGATACTTTTAAATAGTGCTGGGTAGGTATTTTGTAGAATGTCCTTCCATTTGTGTTTGTTTCGTTTTTTGTTGTTGTTGTTTGTTTTGGTTTTGGTTTTCTTAGGTTTTTTTCCATGATTAAGGTGATAGAGTTTGGGGAAGAAGACCACGGAGGTGGTGGGCCCCTGTTAGGGTGTTGTTTCAACATGATGTTGAAAGTCTCATTACTGGGGATGTTGTCATTGATCACTTGAATATGGTGGTGTCTCCCATATTTCATTAACAAATATTTGGTTGAGGAGATACTTTGAGGCTATACAAATATTTTTATTCTCCTTAAACCTTTGCCTACTAATTTTAGCATTCACCCGTCAGTGGATTGTCTGCAGTGATTATTAAGGGTGTCCTGATGGTGATTGTCTCTCTTTCACATTCTTTCTACATTTATTAATTGGATTCTTCTGTAAGGAAGAGTTGTCTCTTCTCTCTCATTTACTTATTAATTCATTCGTCTATTTCCAGATAAATTTATGGGTATTTTAGTCTCTGAGCTATAATCCTTTAGTGTCATTGTTTACTGTGTTGCTCAAGTTTTTCCTGTTTTAGCCACTGGTAGCTGAAGAGGTTTTCCTAGTATGAGAAGACTGTCCATGCTTATTTTGTATTTGATCCATGGGCTACAGAATGGATGTTGTATTAACTGGCCTGATTAATGTCCTTGTACATCTTCATTAGTGCCTTTAACGTCATAAGCAGTAATAGATTGAAAGAAATCTTTTTCTGAGATCTCAACATTGGACTTAACATATTTAGTAAACCATGCTATAAACAGATGTGCTATCATCCAGTCATTGTTTTTTTCATTTCTAGAACACAAGCAAGTGGATTTAGCATAATTCTTAAGGGCTCTAGAATTTTCAGAATGGTATATGAGCATTGACTTCAACTTAGTCATCTGCTGAATTTAGTCCCTAAGGAGAAAGTCATCCTATTCTTTGAAGCCAATCCCTGACTTCTCTCTAACTATGAAAATCTTTCAGTAGAAGGCTGTTTCACTACATTGGAGATGTGTTTAATGTAGCCACCTTTATCAATGATCTTAGCTACATCTTCTGGATAACTTGCTATGCCATCTACATCAACACTTTGCTATTTTACCTCATATTTTTGTGTTATAGAGATGGTTTTTTTCCTTGGACCTCATGAACCAACCTCTTCTAACTTCTAATTTCTCTCCTACAGCTTTCTCATTTCTCTCAATGTTTATGGAATTGAAGAGAGTTAGGGCCTTACTCTGGGTTAGACTTTGGCATTAGGAAATATTGTAGCTGGTTTGGTCTCCTATCCAGACCACTTAAATTTTCTTTGTATTAGCAATGAGGCTGTTGTGCTTTCTTATCATTATTAGCTCTTTTAATTTCCTTCACGAACTTTTTTTTATAATTAGAACTTGGCGGTTTGGCATAAGAGGCCTGTTTTTTGGTCTGTGTGGGCTTTTAGAGTACCTTCCTCACTAAGCTTAATTATTTCTAGCTTTCAATTTAAAAGTGAGAGACTTGTGACTCTTCCTTTCACTTGAACTCTTAGAGGACATTGTGAGATTAGTAATTGGCCTAATTTCAGTATTGTCCCAGGGAATAGGGAAGCCTTAGAAGAGAGAGAAACAAAACAGCTGGTTGGTGGAATAGACAGAACACATACTACTGTAATTATGTTTGCTGTTTTATAGGGGCATGGTTCATGGAACCTCAAAATAATTATAATAATAGTGTCAAAGATCACTGGTTACCATAATAGATATAATACTAATAATGGAAGAGCTTGAGATATTGCACAAATTACCAAATTGTGACAGAGATACAAATTGAGCACATGGCTTTGGGAAAAATGGTGTGCTTCACATGGGGTTGCCACAAATCTCCAATTTTTAAAAAACATACAATGTGGCTCAGCGCCCATAGCTCAGTGAGTAGAGTGCTGGCCACATATACCAAGGCTGGCAGGTTCAAGCCCAGCCTGGGCCTACTAAACAACAGTGACAACTGTAACCAAAAAAATTGCCGGGCATTGTGGCGGGCACCTGTAGTCCCAGCTACTGAGGAGGCTGAGGCAAGAGAATCAATTGCTTAAGCCCAAGAGTGGTTGCTATGAGCCTATGACACTGCGGCACTCTACAGAGGGTGACATAGTGAGACTCTGTCTCAAAAAAAAAAAAAAAAAAATACAGTGTCTATAAAGTATAATAAAACATGATACTCTTGTACTAAGAAGTGAATTTTTGAATGGATTCGAAAATCGATTATGGTGTTAATTCTGACTAATCTTTTAATTATAAATTTAGCATTTTATGTATTTTGGTTATGACACAAAGTTATATTCATACACAAGTTTAAATGTCAGTGGATTTGCTTTGAAAATCTTTTTTTTCCCTCATAGGTCTTAACTTGCAGAGTCAGTTTAATCTGGAAAATGTCACTGTTTTCAATACCAATGAGCAGGAAAGCACACTGGGTCAAAAGGTGAGGCTGATATGAAATCTTCCCACAGGACACATTTATAAGTTTATTATTGAGAATAATAATACGAATGGGCCTTTAAGTCATCAACCATGTGAAAACCTTTATTTCCAGTTTATAGAAATACAGTAGAACCTCCATAGTTGGCCACCTCCCTACATTGACTACCTTCTTAAGTTCACCTAACTTTCTTTTTTTTTTTTTTTGAGACAGAGCCTCAAGCTCTCCCCCTGGGTAGCGTGCCGTGGCATTACAGCTCACAGCAACCTCCAACTCCTGGGCTCAAGCGAGTCTCCTGCCTCTGCCTCCCAAGTAGCTGGGACCACAGGCGCCCGCCACAACGCCCGGCTATTTTTTGGTTGCAGCCATCATTGTTGTTTGGCGGGTCCGGGCTGGGGATTCGAACCCGCCACCTTAGGTGTACGTGGCTGGCGCCTTAGCCGGTTGAGCTATAGGCGCCGAGCCAGTTCACCTAACTTTCAAAGTGGACACGTGTGTTTCAGTACAGTAAGCCGAGTTACTGATATTGACCAGTTATAGTCCCTTGGGTGGTCAGTTTACAGAGATTCAACTATAATATGTATTCTGTGTAAAACGTTCAAACGGTGTTTAGAATAGAAAATAAAGCTACCCCATAATCCAAGAGAAATTGTGGTAGTTTAGGGAGTAGCTGTACTTTTGTACAGTAAGGTATCTGTACTTTCTATTTTATTACTAGTAATCATAAGGTAGATTATAGAGTAGCTGTACTTTGTTTTAAATATCATTTAGATTTTTTACACAGAATACATTACTTCTACATGTCAATATTTCTGTAACTAGTCATAACATTCCCTGTCTAAGCATACTTTTTGTGTATATATACAAACGTATGTTGTTTTTTCCAAAAATTAGGTCATACAGTAATACTTTAACTGATGTATTTCTGCATCAGTACATTGACATTTGTCTCAGTTTCCTCATGGCTCATGATAACTCTTCAAGTGGATACATTACCGTCTCTGTCAGTGGACATTTGGATAGTTTGTAATAGTGAAAAACTGTTAACAGTGATACAGTGAATAGTATTACGTAATATCATTGCTAAATTATGCAAATGTCTCCTTAGGACAAATTCTGATAAGTAAAATTGGTAGGTGAAAATATATGCATATTTCAAATTTTGATAACTATTGCTCAGTAACTTCTTAAAAATATTGTACCTATTTACACTGCCACAAATAGCACATGGAGAATGCCCGCCCGTTTTCCCATAGCCTCACACCACATTGGGAATATTAATATTTTAAAATCTTTGCTTAATTGGGTGGTGCCTATGGCTCAGTGGGTAGGGCTCTGGCCACATACACAGAGGGTGGAGTGTTCAAACCTGGCCCCGGCCAAACTGCAACAGAAAAATAGCCAGGTGGTGGGTGTCTGTAGTCCCAGCTACTTGGGAAACTGAGGCAAGAGAATCGCCTAAGCCCAGGAGTTGGAGGTTGCTGTGAGCTGTCACACCACAGCACTCTACTGAGGGTAATAAAAGTGAGACTCTGTCTCTGAGGAACTTAATATATGTTGATTGGAATATATTTCTCTTCTGTTACTTGCTTGTTCATGTCATTTGTCCATTTTACTATGAATTCTCTTTTCTTAGAAAAAATTACATCTTTAAGGAAAATCCATAGCAAAACAGAGCAGTAAAGGTAGAAGATAGGGGAAAATGTATTCACCAACCTAGCTTCCTGCTTCAGAGGAAAATGATTTGGCCCTTACCTCATTTGCCTGTAATAATTGAAAAAAACTTGCCCCTAGCAGAACTGAGCCAAGAGCCCCATTTTCCAATCTCTTTTCTTCCTGGAAATTTGAGAAAGGTGGTATAGTTCTCAGGCTATCAAGATATAGAAGAAAGTATGGAGAAGGGAAGGATGTTATATCCCCTGTTCCAGTGCTTTCCCCATGCTTATGGAACTGTCCCAGCCCCTCCCTCAGTATCTGTTGATGCCAAAGACACAGACCCACCCCATGGAATTGGGCAGCTTGGTCAGCAGTACACTGAGCAGTGAGGCTGTGTTGATGAGGAAGTGAGCAGCAGCATACCTGGTGTAGAAGCTGGCCAGGAGGTAGAGCACAGTAGCTGAGATGCTGAGGGACTTGCGGAAAGAGATAAAGTGGAGCCCATAGTCCATCTGCTCCCAGTGTGTCAGTAGCTGAGCCTTTCCTTGGTCAGGGGTCTCAAAAGGTGTCCCTTTCACCGTATGTAGGAAGACATACATTGCCAAGTTATGGATGATGTTGGTCAGGGGTGACAACAGGAATGCTGAGTAGAACCACATACACCAAGATGATGTCAGCCAGCGAGATGCCTCAACTATTTGTCCCTTAGTGTTGGGGTTTACTTCACTGTGTGCCATCTACATTCACCCTGTTGCCAGCTTCAGAAGCCTGTCTGGCTGGTGGCCTGGCTCTAGCTTCCACATCTGTGGTCTCCAGGCAGTAGCTGCTCCTGAATTCTCTTTATTACTGTATGTATTTCCAAAACATTTGGCCACAGACCCTTTAGTCCCAGAGAGAATCTACTGCCCGTGTTTTGAGAAATACTGGTTTAAAACTTTCTGTTGTCGTCACAACTGTATTATGTCATTGTCATACAGCTCTTGAGTTCCTGGAACCCTGTCATGTAGAATTCCAGTTACCATAAAGATTAACCAGAGGTCTAGAAAATAGTCACCGTGACTAGACTTCTCTAGTAATGGTTGTCTAGGATTGTGTGAATGGTCTATTATTCTAGCATTTATCTTCTGCCTGATGATTGCTTCATGATAAGCTATACTTTTTTTTTCAATTTAGCACACTGAGGATAGAGAAGAAGGAATGGATGTAGAAGAAGGGGAAATGGGAGATGATGAAGCTCCAACAACGTGGTGAGTTTTCAGAGCTTATCCCTTAATGATTATCAAGTATCCTCTCTGGTATGAGGATATAGACAAGGAGGCAGGAAACATGCATATAGATTTCTTCTGTTTGTAACTTTCACATGTATTACTTAAAATAATAACTCCAAAAATTACTAATGGGCTATATCTGCTGGTTTCTAAATTACATGCAGATGGTTCATTGTTTACACAGCCCACCTTATGCCTATCCCAGCATTTGAAAAGCTAACCACAGACAACCTTAGAGGCTCCTCTTCATCCCTTCCATTAAATTCATGGACTCTGTGTGTGTGTACTGGGCTGACTTTTAATGAAGTAGGAGGGATAAAAAATCTCCTTTCCAGGCCGGGCGCAGTGACTCATGCCTGTAATCCTAGCACTCTGGAAGGTCATGGGGGGGCAGATTGCCTAAGCTCATAAGTTCAAGACCAGCCTAGCACTCTGGAAGATTGTGTGTGTGTGGGGGGGGGCATTGCCTAAGCTCACAAGTTCAAGACTAGCCAGAGCTAGAACAAGACCCTGTCTCTTAAAAAAAAAAAAAAAATTCGCCAGCTGCAGTGGCTCATGCCTGAAGTCCCAGCTACTCAGGAGGCTGAGTCAAGAGGATCCTTGAGTCTGAGGTTGCTGTGAGCTATGATGCCACAGCACTCTACCAGGGGTGACCAAAAAAAAAAAAAATACAACTCTCTTAGCCCTCCTTTCCTTCCCCCCCCTTCTCTCCTTGCTTGTTCTCTCTCACTTTCTCTCTCTCTCTTTTTTTTTTTTCCTGGAGACAGAGTCTTACTGCCTCCCAGGCTAGAGTACATACTCACTGTAACTTTGATCTCCTGAGTTCAAGTGATCCCCCTACCTCAGCGTCTGGAATATCATGTGCCACCACACTCTGCTCATTTTTTTAATTTTTTTGTAGAGACATCCTCTTGCTGCATTGCCCAGGCTGGTCTAGAACTCCTGGTCTCAAGCAGTCCTCCCACTTTGGCCTTCCAAAGTGTTGGGATTGTGGGTGTGAATGACCAAGCCCAGCCCCTCCTTACTCTTAATATTGTTTCTTATCCTCTATAGCCCTGTGCTTTCTGTCAAAATACAATGAGTCCTCACTTAACATTGTCTATAGGCTCTTGGAAACTGTAACTTTATATGAAATGACATCCGACACCACCAGTTTTACCATTGTCTGATTCAGCAGTCCTCAACCTGTGGACCCACAGGAACTGTATTAAAGGATTATGGCATTAGGAAGGTTAAATACCACTGTTTTGATAGAAACAGGAGTTAAGCTCCTACAGCTTATTTCTGATCACAAAAACATCACCAGACTTCTAAATAAAAACTAAAATACTAACATTAACCATTGAAATAAATGTGAGTTTGACATAACATTTTAAAAAGATTAATAAAAGCATGGCTGGGAACAGTAGTTCATGACTGTTATCCCAGTGTTTTGGGAGCCCAAGGAAGAGATCACTTGAGGCCAAGAGTCTAGACCAACCTGGGCATTATAGCAAAACCCTGTCTTTACAAAAAATTCAAAGAATTAACCAGATGTTGTAACATACATCTGAAGTCCTAGCTCCTCAGGAGGCTGAGGTGGGGATCATTTGAGCCTAGGAATTCGGGGGTACAATGAGCTGTGTTCATGTCATTGCACTCTAGACTAGGTGACAGAGTGAGACCCTGTCTCCCCCCCCCAAAAAAATATAAGATTAATAAAAACAATTACTTACCCAGTTATTTCACAAATACTCCCACCCTTACTCATTCTGGGACCTTTCAGACATTCAGATGTGCAGTTAATCCAACGTGTGCATCTTCGGATTTGGGAGGGAACTGGGGTCCCTGAGAAAACCCACACAGACATAAGCAGAACATACAGACCCCACATAGATGGTGGCCCCAGCCAGTAGTTGATTTTTTTCTTATCAACAAAAGAGATGATGTTGAAGGAAACCAGTTATTTGAAGACCTGCCATAATTTCTTTCTAATTAGAAGCAGTGAAGAAGAGAAGAGGGAAAGTATTACAGAAAAATTTCTGTCACCAGCAGGATTCCATGTGTCTGAAGCGATGAAAGTTATACTCATCATTCGTAACTGAAAGAATTTCCATTATTACTGTCAGATGAGGAGAGGATTACTATGACTAAATAGTGAAATGTATTCTTGACATCCCAGACTTCAAATTCAAACACACATTAGAATAAACATTAGAAGGCTTAACCCCATACTTCCTAGTCCTGTGACCTTGAACACATTACTTAACCTTCCTACAACTCAGTTTTAACATCTTGCAAATGTAGTGATGCTACCCTTCCCTCTACAGTTGTTGAGAGGATTAAATAAGATGATGATCAGAACAGGTTAAATAGTAAGGCACTTAATAGTTGTTATTACTATAGTTGTTTATGTTATTATATGTACCAGTAAATGTAAAGCACTTAGCACATTGTCTATTCAGTAACTATTATTATATAGCTATAGTTATTTTTCTGGAGACTTATTTGTTCATGTCCATTTTTTTTATAGTCTTGCCCAAGCAACATAAGGGCGAGTAGGTTCCAAGATAGAGGTCACCTGTAGAGTAAATAGTGCCCCCCCTCAAGACACTCTGCCCAATGCAGTTTTGCCTACTTAGACTTTGGGAAGCCTGTGTAGACAATTCAGCCCAAGAAGGAAAAGAGAGGAATAGCCTTATTGATTATAGGGGTAAACTAGTCCTAGCTGTAGGAAAATCACTTAAACAAGACCCAGCATTTATTTGCCTTTGTTGAAATCACTATTTTGCCGTGGAGGAAGAAGGCCTATAGGGAATTACGTTGTGAGCAGCTGTATCACCGGGTGGTCTCAGGCATTGTAATTTACAAAGCAGAATACTGTACCCACAATCTGAAGTCAATTTCAGACTTGGCTCAAACACATCAGTAAAAACTTTTGTATTAAAAAAATTCAATGTGTAAGGATCTATAAAATAGTTCAACATTTAAAAAATATATCAAGTTGTACATGGTATTCTAGTTAAAATAGTTAAAAGATATTCTATTTTAGATAGTAACTTTTGCTTCTAATTTGTTGTTATTTGCAAAAACAATGAATAGTTATACTTGCCTTATGTGAATAAATAAAAAATCCAAAAGTTTCCGTGGAATAGTGAAGAAGGAAGGCAAATTTCAGTGGATTAAAGAATGAATAGAAGGTAATTAAATGGTGATGGGTTGTAGACAACTTTGAAGAAGTTTTATTTAACCATGAAGGAAAAGCAAGCATCTACTGGAGGGTAATATAACTATTGAGGAAAAGAATTTTTTTTGTTTTAACAGATTTTTTCTTTTAGATTAATATAAGGGTACAAATGATTAGGTCACGTTGTTTGTGTTTGTTAGGTAAAGTCCAGGTTGTAATTGAGCCCTTCACCCAGGAGGTGTGCTATATACCCCTACATTGTACCCATTAGATGAGAGCACACCAAACCCCCTTCTTTCCCCCTTTGAATTTAATTGTGTTTTTCTATTGTGTGGGCATGTAGTTCATCTACTGGTTTCATATTAGTTTTGAGTACATTGGATACTTGCTTTTCCGTTCTTGTGATACTTAGGAGAATGTTCTCCGAATCCATCCAGGTAAATACAAAAGATGTAAAGTCTCCATCAAGTCTCCATCTCCCTTTATAGCTGAATAGTATTCCATGGTATATACATAACACCATAATTTTATCTATCCCTTCGTGTGTAGATGGGCACTTGAGTTGTTTCCACATCTTGGTAATTGTAAATTGAACTGTGATAAACATTATAGTGGAAATGTCCTTATGGTAAAATGATTTTTTTCCTTCTGGGTAGATATCTAGTAATAAGATTGCAGGATCAAATGGAAGGCCCACCTTTAGCCCTTTGGAAATTCTCCACACTTCTTAACAAAGAGGCTGTTTCAGTTTGTAACTCCCATCAACGGTGTGTAAGCATTCGCTTGTCTCCACACACCAGCATTTGCAGGAAGACTTGTTTGAAAATAGCAGTGTTTAATTCTGAATAACAATGTGTCCAAAACTCTGGAGCTCCATCAGAATAGATGAGGAAGATGTTTTGGAATCTTTGAGTTTCCTAAAATTGTTTATAGAAGTTTATGTCAATATTTATGATTGTACACTTCTCTGAGGAAAGACACCATAACTTTCATCAGCTTCTGAAAAGGTTTATGACTCAAGAAAAGTTAAGAACATTTAGATATTTGAAAAAGAATTCAAATAATGTATATATTATATTAAAATATTATATTTAATATAACATTTATTTTACTAGCTCCATTCCAATTGATTACAACCTATATCGAAAATTCTGGTCACTTCAGGATTACTTTAGGAACCCTGTGCAGTGCTATGAGAAGATTTCATGGAAAACTTTTCTCAAGGTGAGTTGGCAGTCACACTCTATCACAAGCCCAGTATTTTATAACTAACAGCATAGCTAAAATTTAAGTCATGTCCTTCATGCTTTACACTGTATAATTCTTCCTTATAACATTTTTACATTTATTTCATGATATATGGAAGCTAAATTATAAGTGAATATTTAAACCACTGATTTTGTGAAGTGGCTTAAAAGTGACTTGGAGATTTAAAAGTTAGTGATTACAGCCTTGAGTTTTTTGTTTATTTATTTATTTCTTTATGTTTGTTTGTTTGTTTGTTTTGCAGTTTTTGGCTGGGGCTAGGTTTGAACCCACCACCTCTGGCATATGGGGCCGGCGCCCTACTCCTTTGAGCCACAGGCACCACCCCCTACAGACTTGAATTTTTTTATACCTATAATAATACTTTTTAATATATATCATAAGTGTTGCTAATTTAAATTGATAATTTTTGTAGAATACATTCTACCTTTGCACAAAATTATGTTAACTATCCTGTTAAAATAGGGATCCTCAAACTTGAGCAAATCCAACCTGTTGCTTTATTGTTTACTAAAATACAAACATGACCATTCATTTAGCTGTAGCTGTTTTTGTGCTATTATGGCATACCTGAATAGTTGCAACTGAGACTGTATGGGACACAAAGCCTAAAATATCTATCATCTGGTCCTTTACAGAAAAAGTGCTCTCACTGCTATCTTAGAAGAATTCATTCTCTTTATTTTTTTGTCCTTTCCTGAAGTAGTCAAAATCTAAGATAAATAGGTAGCTCTTAAAGTAACATGGGTGCATATTCTGTGTTATTTTTAATAGTCTTTATTTTATATGCACTTTTTTGAGGGTGGGGGACACCATCCAATTTCAGATTAACTGTTTAGTGAGAAATCAGCTGAAATTATCTTCCTGCTGGACAGAATTTGGCAACATTGTTTTATTTGGTCACTATCTTTAAGAAATGTTTAAAAATTTTCACAGCTGGTTAAACTATAGATTCACTGGTAAATTTCTTTATGTTCTCAAAGCATTTCTTTTTCTACCTCTTACAATCAT